ACCAAAGCACCACCGGAAGGGACAAGAACACTCAGACCAGCCCAGCCATCTCAACGCACGCCAAAGGTCAGAAAAGGGGAGGCACAGAGAGAATACCACAGAGGGACCGGAATAAAGAAGAGACGGAAGTCTCTCTCTCTCTCAATCTCTCTTAACCTCACTCTCTCTCTAACCGAAGACCTCTGCCTCAACCAAAAGGCGTAGAGGAGTTTAAGTACCCGGGCAAAGAGGGGAAGCCCTAAAAGAGGGTTCCAGAAGAAGGGCTAGCGGCAGAACAACATGGGCCAGGGCAGAGGTACGAAACAGGCCCAATACAAGAGGAGAGGGCTGCCTTGGCCCGTGGGGCCAATACCTCCACATCCACTTAATGAAATGTTCGTTGATCCCGATTATATCTTTAACTATCTTCCTCTCGAATACTCAATCGAGGAGTATATCCAATTCATCGAGGGTAGTTATTAATAACGAGACGTGTTCATTAATAAAACTTACTACCGAGTTAATATAGAACATGCGTCATATATTAGCCCGATAGTAGCAATAAACTTAAGATGAAAACGATTGAGATTGATAACCTCAACACAAGCGGTTTATTGGTTTAATAAATATAATTAATTCCCCTTAGATTATTAACCATGAGACACATGCATTAATAATCCAAGTTTTACTACCGTTGAAAGAACCGAATTAATAACAAGCGTATTAATCGATTGATTCTAGTAATAATTAATATATGAAACAAAACTAGTTGATCCTTTAAGTAATGCTCAAAATATTAATATGGAATATGAATAAGAAATAATTAATATTCAAGGAAGAAGATTAAAGAAAATAATTCACAACTTACAAATTCATTAAGCTTCAAAATAGCAAAACAAAGATGGAAGAGTTTAGCTCCTCATTTGGAGACTAAACATGAAGAAAATATAAAGGAGGAACTTGTCTAAACTGAGCTAAGAAGTATATGTGAATTGGTCATTTTTGTGGGAAGGAAAGGGGGGTATTTATAGGCTTTTGGAGCATGCAGGGGTGTGTACCCGATCGGGCATCAAGGGCACCCGATCGGGTACCTTCAGTGGCTTCCCGGAAGCTCGAAAAGTTGGACATACCCGATCGGGTATGTCGGTCACCCGATCGGGTATGACATTCGAATGTGGTCAAATATTTTCCTGCATGTTGCCTTGTCCCGGATCCGATCCGATTTGATTTTTCAACAAGGTACCCGATCGGGTATAGGTCATACCCGACCGGGTACAACACAAAAATTCAGGATCTTTATTTTTGTCTTGAGATTTTGCACTTTCCTTCCACTTTTGATGTTCACCCATGGTCCCTAGAGTGATCTTGGACCTGTTTGAGCTCAGAATAAACCTAATCTAAACAAATTACAATTAGTTTACAAACTAAACTATTACACCAAAAGTGTGTAATTTCCAAAGCATCAATCAATCAAAACTAATTAAAACACAAACATAAATATGGAAATTACATGAATATCAAGAATCTCAATATAAACTATTATTTAAGCTCATTTCACGAGACAAGTAAAAAATCAAAGCGATTGATAGTCTTCAGCTTGTTAGCTCGTCAACCAACTCACTACCATAAAATTGGTTATTTGAATAAACTTATATTTTGGCAATAAATATATTACATTAATTCAAACACATAAAAGCATTATATTTTTTTTTTGCAACCAAAAGTAAATTCTGTAAAAATACGCATCAAACGTGAAACTAGTACAGATACTAAATTAGTTTTTGTCTTTGAAGCTTTCTTCGCTGGACTTCTTGCCATTGATTTCTTCATGCCAGTGAAAAACAGTAATGCTCCGAATAGCTGCAAACCCTATGTAAATTTAACAAAAAGTAGAGTGAATTCTTTCTTTCCAGCAACATAGTTGTAGAAGTCATACATGATTGGGGTAAGGATTGCCTGATGAAAAAGTAGTATGGAAGCTCCAAGAGAGCTGTCAAATACAAATAGAAAGCTTCAGACTCCTCTCATAATGACAACCACCATTACAAGATGTTCCGTCTCAATATTAGAAATATGAATTGTGAAGGCCGGTGTGTGTTCCAACATGTTTTGAAAAACCTTGCACTTGGGTCTCAATGCCTTTGCAGTTGGCCCACTATCAACACCAAATTCAGTGAACTCTTGGTACACGGAGAGAATGAATACTGAGACAAAGAGTAATCTCCCGAGGAGAGGAAAGAACCCCATTGTAGTAAGGATGTCTCAAACCTCTCTCTAAGATTCTCTCTCTATACACATAAAAGCATTATGTATGTTAGTAAATATATACTTGTATAATTCAACACAATAAACTGCAAACTGAATGTAACCACAAGGAGAGTTCCTTCATATGGAAATATTCAATTGACAATAGAAAGAATATTCGCGACATAAAAGAGTCAGAAAATCTGGAATTGAAAAATTGTATATGAGTTGAAAAATTGAAATGAGTCGTACTTTATCTTTATGGTTTAGGAATTTCATCGAGCATCTTATATGCAGAGAACCACGTGCACCTCAAAGATGAATCCTACCTACCAATATCAGTACATTTCTCGACCAAAGCATTTGTGAATGGGAAAATAGAGCCATTAGCATGATGGAAGTTGTAACCTTATCACTAACGAGTAACGACCATATTAAATCATCAATGCAAAGTTAATTAAAATAGATAATTTCAGTAATCAAATAGTTTTCTAGATACTTAAATTTAAATAAGCTAGATTCGTATACATACCAAGATAGAGAACAAAATTACCAATTTGATTAAAACGGGTCTCCGAACATTTCATAGTGTTGGTTTAGGAAAAAAATTACCAGAAATTTGAAAGGTGGTGAAGCAGCAAAAGACGGGTGCAATTCTAGTTAACTCCGGAACCATGGCGCTATCGTTGGTGATCTCCTTGAGGCTAAGAACAATTTCTTCTTGTTCCGCGTAACATGGCTATTTAGTTCCATTGTTTCCACTACCGCCATGGATAGAAAATATTGGGTGGATGAAGGAATGATCGGGTAAGTGGTAAAAAGTAGGGGTTTGGACAAGGGTCGGTCAAAGAAAGATACATCAAACTAATTGGAGTAGTTATCTTGTCACACTTAAGTGTCACTATATGCAATGCTAGTTATCATGGCATTTTTTATGTGTCAACAAATAATGAGTGTCAAGAAATGTAACGTTTCTTGTAGTGAAATAATGTTTACTTTCCAATCCTAAACGTGTGTAGCATTAATTGAAAGATCGGTAACTTCAAAAAGAATAAAAACGGGAAGACTGGTCAATGCAATCGCCAACAGGGATGGATTTAAGGGGGGCGCGGGGGGCGACCGCCCCCCTTGGACTTTCAAAAATTTTTATTGTATATGTAATATTTTCGTAAAATTTTCATACTTTAATTAGATTCGCCTCCCTTAACTTTTAGTTTTAAAAATTAATATATAGTCTTACATAATGTAACACTTGATTAGAGATTTAAAAGAAGGAACATCTAAAATAATTTACATAACTTAAATAAATAAACAATAGAACAACTCGTTGTTAAAGATTTAAGATACTTACTATATAAAAATTCTTAGTTTTGTAATGTTTAATTATCTTTATTAGATAACTAGTAAACAATGTTGTAAAATATATATCAAACAATATTAAATACCAGACAAACTATTTACACAGTTTTTAGATCATGTGAAGCGAATCCAACTTATAAATGTTTATTGAATTAAATTACACAATTCATTTACTTCTTACGTTTTAAAAAGACTTTATTGCATAGATAATAAACTTTAGTTATTTGAGCAAATATAATATGCACTATATATATTATATATGAATTAGCAATATAATATTATTCTAAAAATAATAATCTCATACATACTATTGTAATATTAAGAAAACTCCCTGTGACTCATGAACACCCTCCTTGGTAGACAAAAATTGTAATTCAAAACCCAATTCTTTATTTGTATAAGATTCACGTAGTTAAACAATGTTCAAATTATATTTTAAAAGTATTGGTGAATGTGTACCTTATAAACTCTATCTTTAAGAGGAAGCGGTCCAGCTCAGCTGGTCGCCGATTCACTCTCCCTTGCGGGAGGTCTCGGGTTCGAAACTCAATGGAGTGAGTTTCAGCCCTTATTACTCCAGGCCCCCAAGACCACCTCCCTCAGACGCCCCCTGGAGTAAAAAAAACTATTAAAAAAACTCTTTATCTTTAAATGAAATGTTATATATCCTTTTTTATTTTCAAATTAGTTTTCTTTGATTTGCCATTTCTTACGCTTTAATGTAACAATACTTTTTTTAGAGCACTCCAATTATAAAATTAAAGTTATTTTGTCATTGTCTAAACTTAGAATGTAATATATAGATTTAAATATCATCATGTATGTATAATGAATTCTTTTGAATAAATATAGCCGCAAAGGTTTACCCTAGTGAAAAAATTTTGCCCCGCTACACTAGCAAAAAAATTCATCCCGAATACTAGTGATTTTTTTTAACGTCCTACACTATCAAAAAAATTTCGCCCCCCTTGACTCGAAATTCTGGTTCCGTCTCTGACCGCCAACATGTGAGAAGACGTATTTTTCATCTATGATATGTTTTCCCGTATTTTGCTCTCTATGATATGTTTTCCCGTATTTTTAGAAAAGACCCGTATTTTAATTTTTCAAATAATATTCAACTTGAGCTAATATTAAAAGCATTTTATCATTGTGTAATTCTAATAGACACATTTATAATTTTTTATTGTAAGTGCACTCCCACAGTCACACGTAAACATCGGTCAAAACCAACAACGTCGATATTAAATGGATCCAGCTGACCATTTGGGTTCGAGTGCGCGCGCGCGACAAGTGGCGTCTTGAGGTTTGGACTAGTGTCCAATGCTTTGCATGGCAATTGTCTTCGTGTCCGATCCCAGGCCATCTTAATTAAGTATATATGTATATATATCCGCCGACCCGGCCTTTCGGGTCCATATAAACGTAACCATTCCAATATCTAAGTATTTAGTTTTCTTTCTAAAAAAAAATTCGATCGAGGCCGGAGGAACTGAAGAATGCTTTTCAATGCACAAAAGGCTTTCTTGAAATTAGCTTTAGGAACTCGACTGAGAGGCCAGCCTTATGGAGGAGGAGCATCGCCGAAGTTGAAGGGGGAGTTTTTTCCGGTGTACGTGGCCGTGGGGATGATAGCGTTAGCAGCAGGGTTCGGGATCCACACTGCCCGTCACCAGTTGGGCCGGTCGCCCAACGTGCATTTGAAAAAGTCGAGGAGGGAGACGGTGGCGGAGGTGGTGGAGCCGGACCAAGTGGTGGATGATGCCAACAACTTCATCAAGAAATCTTTCTTTAGGAAGGTTGCTCATGTCCAGCACGACTTTGATTCTACTCAACCAATCATTCCTGATCCCATAAGAGGAGATGTCCTTGCTAGGTACGTACCCGTGTAGGGCGGGTATCCATGCCATCTTTTTGTATATAGACGTGCTCCTTCCGTCCCTCTAATTTTGTCCAGTTTTGTCTTTTTCTTGTGTCTCATAAGTTTGTTTCTTATTATATTTGGGTTGTTATCATTCAATCTTACTATATTCACACTTTATCGACTAATTATCAACCACGTAATTCCATTTTTTCACATACGGGAAATTACTAGCTAAATACTGCTTGGAACAAAATACAATGTACTCGTAGCAAGTTTAGAGGAGAAATTTAACTTTTACTTTGAAATTTTACGTTTTCTTACTCGTATTTGGGGAACTTTTTCTTTTTTTACCATTATATAGGGGGAGGCCGGATAGAATTGAAGTATAATACTTAGCGAGTGTCGTGATTCCTTTTACTTTAAAAAATGATTGTTTAAAATGATTTGGAAGAAATTACTTAATGGTAACAGTTGGACCTTTTTGAGAAAAGTAAAATCAGTATTATTTGGTAGAATAAGTACTCTTCGTCCTTAACTTTGACCCGTTTAATCTTTTTCGTTCGTTCGATTAATTTGTCTCATACCATATTTACTACTCCCTTCGTTCCTATTAAAACTTCCAACTTTCATTTTTCGTGCATTCTAATTAAAACTTCCACTTTCCCTTTTTAGTAAAGAATTTGTGGTTCACAACATTTCTTACACATTTCTCTCTCATCTGCACAACTCTGCACCACACAATACTCACTATCTTAAATTGTGTGCCAAATCTATTTGGAACAGATTGAGTGGTATTTTAGTGGTTACAATACATTCTTACTTTATTCACACTTTATTCACACTTTATCAATTCGATATTAAAAACACGATTCTACTTTTTCTTAAAAACTGCATCACACCCCATTGCACGGAGATAGTATTTTTTTGTGTAATTGAGATAGTGAAATGGAGTTTTAAGCACCCTACAATTGGCTCCAATTTTTTTAAGTAATTAATTTAAGCATAGACGATCATCATAAACACTCACCTTTCCAAGTCAAAAGGTGAAAAGTATTTTTTTCCTGCGTACACTCCCTTAACTGTGTGTTTAATTGTTTTGCAGGGAGCCGAAAGCGGAGACGCTCAAGTCCGTTGGAGTGAATCCAAATATGCAGCAGCATTGATGGAGCTGCGCTTTCGAATCACAGCTCATTTTGTGTCCACAGTTAATTACCCCGGTTTGTTTGTTTGTTTACACATCCAACTAATAGAACACTTGTGTGATGCGCGGTTAATGAAACTTCACGAGTAATTAATTTTAGTCACATTTGAAATTTAAAAGCAAATTTGTAATTTTAATTGAACAGTTGATTTAAATTATACTTTGTACAATAATAAAGATTGATGTAAAAATGATTATGGAGTATACACAAATTTTTTGACCTCAAAAAATAGTAAGTAGCACAGAGCATAAATATTAATTTAAAACACAACATACATTTGTTGAAATATATGAAACACTTCTTTTTACAGGATATTTTTGTTTTTGGTTTCATTGTTCGTACCCCCATTTTTGTTTTTGGTTTCATTGTTCATACCCCAGCATTTTTTTGTTAACGCTTGTAAATTGGTTATTCTTGACACAATCACACACGACAATGACTATATATCTTTGAGTGTTACTCAATATGATGACATAATAAGTCATGTTTGGATATTATCGCATTCAAAATTGAATATCAAGCTAACATCTGAACGTGTCACAGAATGCATGGGAATCATCACTTTTTGCCAAAAAAACTCATGTCAAAGTGACATGTTTATTTCAAACATGTCACTTTGACTTCATATATGAAAAAAAAACTTACTTGCGAAACACATTCGGCGTAGCTACATTGTCCGGCTAGTAAATTACGTGAAATAAGAGATTAAGTAAATTACGTGAAATAAGAGATTAAGAAGTCGTTTGACAACACTTATATTTAAAATTATTTAATTTTCAATAATTAAGTGCTGAATTATTGAAAATTATATTTAAAATATATTTTATTAAAAAAATAAAAATAAAATTATATCCAAATGTAGCTAAAGTAATCGTTCATAGTAGTTTCGGCCAATCCAAATGTAGCTAAAGTAAATCTCATCTTACAGAGTCCTAAAATTATTACAGAATCCTGTTTCTAAAGTCTAAAATTATGATTTAGTGTAAACTGATTGATAGAAAATATAAACACCAAAGGTGTTTTTGATAAAAAATGAGATAATAAGATAAAGTGATCGTGATTTATTAGAAGACTCATAAAATGGGTAAACAAAAATATCAGCCCAACAAAGGGAGTATATGATTAATATAAATGTATGAATCATAAAAGATATACGGCATGATTGCCACACTAGTCACAACGTTCCTTAATTAATTTTACACTTTCCTTTTTAGGTCGTCTCATATTAAATTTTACACTTCTTTATTTACCTTATTTGGCAAACAAATCTACAGCAAACAGTGACAAACAATTTACTCTACAGTAAAGTTCAATTTACAGTGACAAACAATTTACTCTCAAAGTGTAAACTTTATTAAGAATCAAATGGAGTATTTTTTAAACTTTTTCACAACTTTCTCATCACTAATGACATGGTAATAATGATGACTCGGATTCAATGACATGGATTTTTGGCAGACATGTGGCGTTTTTTTAGCTGGAATATAGCTTTTCATGAAAAGGACAAATAGGTGGGATTTCCTCCAAAAAGATTGCTTTCCATTATCTCCTAGATTTGACTTCACGTCTTTTATTTTTTATTTTCCATAAATCATTTTTTTCACAACCAACATTTTATCTTTAGGTTGGAATACTATTCCCAAAACCTTTTGCTTTTAGATATTACTTCCTCCGTCCCGGAATTATCTTCGTTCTTTCTTTTTCGGTTCGTCCCAAATTTATCTCTTTTTTTCTCTTTTTGATAAAGAATATGTGGTTCACGACTATTCTTACACATTTCTCTCTTCTCTGCATAACTTTCCACCACACAAATCTCACTATCTTAAATCTCGTGCCCGGTCAAAACCAGAGTTATATATGGGATGGAGGGAGTAATAGATACGTCTCTTTGTAATGCACATATACATATTTAGATGCATTTTTCTTTGATAGAGAGACTCTCTCTCTTTGTGTGTGTGTTATATGGTGTATGGTTGTTTAGAGTCTAGAGAAATTTGGACATCTTTATTATCTGTCCCGCTAGTCTTTGGCACGGGTTTTAATCGAAAAATAATAGGGTAAATGTAGAGTGTGTAGGGTAAATGATAAAGTAGGAGAGAGAGTATATTAAAAAGAGTATAGTGATGATAAAGTGATGATAAAGTAGGAAAGAGAGTATATTAAGTAGAGTAAAGTTATGATAAAGTAGGAAAGAGAAGATAGTTTGTAAAAAGTAAGAGGGGTAAAAGTAATAAAAATGGGTGTATTTTATCAATAACTTTCCTAAAATAGAAAGAGACAAATATTAAAAAACGTCTCAAAAAAGAATGCAAGACAGTTAATAAAGATCGGAGGGAGTATTATTTTTTATTATTATTTTATTGGGATGTATTACATACTCCTTCCGGTCGCAAAACAAATTCACACTATCCTTTTTGGGTAGGTCCAAAATAAACTTCACATTTCTTCTCCCTTCCTTATTTGGCAAATTATCTAGATTAAAACACTGCAAAACAGTGTCAAACAGTGACAAACAGTGTCACAACAGTGTACTCTACAGTAAAGTCAAATTTATTTCCTTAATTTGTGCTTCACACTTCTTCTCCCTTCCTTATTTCACAAATTATCTAGATTAAAACAGTGTCAAACAGTGACAAACAGTGTCACAACAGTGTACTCTACAGTAAAGTCAAATTTATTTCCTTAATTTGTGTGAAGTCAAACACTGAATTTGTTTTGAGACCGGAGAGAGTACTATTTTAGTGTAGTCCAATCACTACTGTTCAGAGTTGCAAGTTGCATGTTATCTTCTTTGCAATATTTTGCTGTATAGTACTCCCTCCATCCCTCAATACTTTGCCAAGTTTGACCGGCACGGGAATTAATAAAGTAAAAACTGTGTGGTTGAGGTTTGTGCAGAGGAGAGAGAATTAACTGGAACCATAAATTCTTTACTTAAATGGGAAAGTGGCAAAGTTAGTGGGACATCCAAAAAAGGAAAGTTGGCAAAGTTATAAGGGACGGAGGAGTAATTAATCATTGATAGTATGTACTCGTACCACTTATAGGGCCACTTCCTCCAAATTTCTCTATCTTTTACTAGTGCGTTGCACGGGAAAAATCAACTCATATTACTCAAATAAAAAGGGATCGAATGAATATTGTATACCATCTTCGGCCTGGGTAACGGTCCCAATTGAGTTTACGATATTTGAAATGTCATAAATTTAAGTGATCCTTGTTAATAATAGAATTATTTTAGTAAATAAAATTTACATATTCAGAAATTATATTAAAAGTCTTGTAAAGTCGCAAAAACTTAAATTTGATAAAAATTGGATATATAAAGAAAAAGGTTAAGAAAAAATTACATTAATTTTCATCTAATTTTTTATTCATTAATTAAATATATTTTAAATACGGAGTATAATTTTTCTATAATTTAGAAGATTTAGAAAATTTAATCAATTCAATAAGAATTTCATAATTTCAGCAATTTTAACCAATTATGTCAATTGCAATGTTACTTAACGGGGTCTTGTGAATAAGTTCTACTTCACTTGACTTCCATGGATGTCACTTATGAGAGAATGAGCTTTAATGTTATGACTTGAAGAATGCTTCAATGTGGGAATAAGCGGGAATAATTGGAAAATTTTAATTGTCCACTCAATTCCTTTACTCCCTCCGTCCCTAATCTTTCTTCCTTTTCGGCTGGGCACATTTATTAAGATAATGGGATTTGTGTGGTGGAGAGTTGTGCAGAGGAGAGAGAAATGTGTAAGAATGTGTAAGAATGATTGTGAACCACAAATTTTTTGCTAAAAGGGGGAAGAGGAGATAATTTTGGGACGGGCGAAAAAGGAAAGTTTGAAGATAATTTAGGGACGGAGGGAGTATATTATATAAAGATATGAAAGGGCCTATCAGAAAATTGAAAATGTAAATGTACTCTTTTAATTTGAAGAGTGCATGCAATCATTCCCACGATTGAATCGTCAATGTACTCAAACTTAAATTATATCTTCAATTTTTTCTATTCAAACAATACTTCAAAGGTCATATGCTTCGTGTACACAAAAATCAAGATGTACACAAAATGTGTACATTGCTTGTGTACACAGGTAATTGGGTATCAAATTCTGCTCTTTTCTAAATGAATTATCTGTGTACACAAGCAACTATGACGGTTTTGTGTACAATTTGTGTACAACTCATGTACACTAAGCATTTTACATACTTCAAAACCTAATAAAGTAGTAAATGAAAGGACAAATGGGCGGGATTTCCCCCAAAAGATTGCTTTTCATGATCTCCTAGATTTGACTTCACATCTTTTATTTTTGATTTTCCATAAACCATTTTATTCGCAATCATGATTTTTTGATGTGACATTTTTAGGCGGGAATACAATTCCCAAAAACCTTTTACTTTAAGATATTAATATATTACTACGTAATATATACTCCTTCCGTCTCTTATAACTTTGGCAACTTTCCTTTTTTGGATGTCGATTAACTTTGCCACTTTCCCTTTTATGTAAACAATTTGTGATTTCAGTTAATTCTCTCTCCTATGCACAAATCTCAACCACACAGTTTTTACTTTATTAATCCCCGTGCCGATCAAACTTGACAAAGTTATTAGGGACGAAGGGAGTATGCCTCTTTTTAATGCACACATACATTTTTTTAAGAAAAGAATTTTTTTACTGATAATTGAGAGAAGTACAATGCAAGGAATGAAAGATAACGAAATGGGAAAATATTTTTTCATACTCTCAGTTAGTGTCTCCTCTTTCCTCCGAGTCCACCACCGTCCAGCTGCACCCACTATCGTTTTCCCGATCATCTTCTGAGTCCTCCGCTGCTACTGGCTCGCCTATGACCCTGGTGGATTTTTCCTTGGATTTGTGTTTACCACCACCGCCATCTAGCTCACCGCCGGCAGATCACACGACACTCCAGCCACCTGTTTCTCCGGTGTCCTCCAGTACGGACATCCACTCTGGTCGTGGTTCTCCGACTCCTGATTCACCAGCTAGCTCTGGCTCATTGGATTCGGTAGCCTCGGTCGGTGGGGTGGTGGTTGATGTTCCGAGTTCTGGTAATTCACTACATGAAAATATACATCCCATGCATCTGCGCTCTAAATCAGGAATTTTTAAACCCAAAACTATTTGTAATCTAAACACTGCGGTTTTGGTTCCTGATCCAACTTGTTTTTCTATGGCTAATAAAGATATTAAATGGAGAGCGAGTATGACTGAGGAATTTAATGCTCTTATCACTAATGAAACGTGGGACCTAGTACCGTTTGACTCTAGCAAATATTTGGTTGGGTCTAAATGGATTTATAAAACTAAGTATCGGTCTGATGGTTCTATTGAACGTCATAAAGCACGTCTGGTTGCCCAAGGGTTTAAACAGCAAGCTGGGGTGGATTTCTCTGAAAACTTTAGTCCTGTTGTTAAATCCATCATTGTTCGCATTGTTCTTACATTAGCTATTTCCTTTAAATGGCCTATTCATCAGTTAGATGTTAAAAATACATTTCTTCATGGTCATCTCACAAAAGAGGTTTACATGCGTCAACCACCCGGGTTTGTTCATCCTCAATTTCCTAATCATATTTATTGCTTGCGCAAGGTCATTTATTGTCTCAAACAGGCTCCCCGGGCATGGTTTCATCGTTTCAGTAGTTTTCTTCTCACTCATGGATTTGTTTGTAGTCGTGCTGATAATTCCTTGTTTATTTTTCGTCAGGCTACATGTATCATTTATTTGCTCTTATATGTTGATGACATTATTATTACTGGCAGTTCCTCTACTCTTATTAGTAATTTTATTTCTCTCCTAAGGAAATATTTTGCTATGAAAGATTTAGGGGATATTCATTTTTTCTTGGGGGTTCAGGCTGTGCGCAATTCTTCTGGTTTATTTTTGTCTCAGGCCAAATATGTGTCAGATTTTCTCACCCGTTTTCATCTTCATACTCTAAAATCTTTTCGCATGTCATTACCTACTAGAACCAAGCTATCTCTCACTGATGGTGATTTACTTGCTGATCCTACTGAGTATCATAGCATGGTAGGCGCATTGCAGTATTTAACTAAGACTAGACTTGATATTACATATGTTGTTCACTCGGTGTCTCAATTTATGCATGCTCCCCGTATCTCACATACGTTGGCTGTTAAGAGAATTTTCAGGTACCTACAAAGCACTAAAACCCATGGTTTTCATCTTCAACCGTCGCCACACCCACACTCGGTTCTGGCATACTCTGATACTGATTGGGTTGGTTGTCCTGATAGTAATCGTTCCACGTGTGGCTATGCTGTTTTTCTTGGTCCTAATTTGATTTCCTGGCGATCCAAGAAACAACCTATTGTCTCTCGCTCATCTACTTAGGCTGAGTATAGAGCCATTGCATACACAGTTCAGGATACATTACACATTCGGTCCATTTTGTTTGAGCTCGGTTTCCCTCTTTCACGCCCGGTTTTTTTGTTATGTGATAATGTATCTGCTTCATATTTATCAGCCAATCCCATCCAGCATGCTCACAGTAAGCACATTGACATTGATTATCATTTTGTTCGCGAGCGTGTGGCTCATGGTGATCTCCTGGTGCAGTATGTTCCTATGAAGTTTCAGCTGGCTGACATCTTCACCAAGAGTTTGGCTCCTCAGCAGTTTTTTTTTACGAAACAATTTACACGTAGTTCCTCCTGCATAGATTGATGGGGTGTAAAATAATTAGAATTAATTATTAGTCAGTTTCCTTATTGTACTTGGACACTTATTACCTATAAATATACTCTCAGGGCTACCAGTCTGTTTAAGCCTGTTTATTATTCTCACGGGATCTTGGATCTTATGCTAGTGCTCCTCCTCTTTGGAATGGCAGCGGTTTTGTTCTCAGCCAATCGATCCAAAAGTTCTTGTGCTGATGGAAGGTTTCTCGGAGGAGTGCCGAAATCATTGTTTGACAAGTCTGCCTCCATAGTTTGTGTAGGATCCTCTTTGGTCATTTCATAGGGAGAGGTGTACTGGTTTGGAATAAGCGCCTCAGGATCCTCCTCACCGAAGTCACAATTTTCCTCCTCTTCAGATATGCGCTGTGGTTTGATTGCACATGTATGTTGTCAAAATATCAAAGTGAAAAAATACTTTAGAGAGGGAAGTAGTGTTCTCTCTGTCTTCTGTGTCTGCAGTGTGCCCCTGAGGAAAGAGTGTCGAGTCCTCCTGAGTTAAATTTTGCAGTGTGCCTATCAAAGTGAAATTCAATGAGGCTTGATTTCCTCCGCCCCATTGGATTAAGGATAAAGCTCACCTTTTCCTTTGCAATTTCTAAAAAGTTGCGTGACTTGTGTGTGTACATACTCCCTCCGTCCCAAAAAGAATTGCAAAACTTCCTTTTTTAGCTGTCCCAAAATGTTTTTCCACTTTCCTTTTTAGGTAAACACAAATGAATAAAATGACACATAAACCCTTACTACTGTGTCCCAATTTCCGGAGATATTTTGCACTCCGTGTTAATTACTCCCACCCACTCACTCATACTCCACCCACACTTTTTTCACATTGATCGAGCATCATAACCCCACCCACCCACCCAAAGACTTATCACTTTATCTCACCCACCCAAACCCCATCTTATTCAAATTCTCTTTTCTCCCATCAAATTCCAACAGATCGATCGAGCTTCATAAACCATCGAAGACTAAGTGTATTTTTCATTTATCTTACAGATCTTAAAGAAGATGAGAAGCGTATAGTTCCAGGGACGAAAAGCGATGCGTACAGTTCTAGGGATAATTTGTGTAAAGGCTTACTCAAGAAGAGTTATCGTCGGAGCTAGCCAGGTAACGAGGAGTCGGAGTCCTAGTCTAATCGCATAAGGGAATCGACCCTCCGTAAATATATCTCTAACTATGAGTTGATCTATAATCTTTTGGGAGATTGATAGATGCACATCGGAAGTCTTTAACCTCTTTATGATAGTTTGTGATAACTTTCTAGCTTGAATGATGTTTGGACTTCAGATAGTGAGCAGTTGACTTGGCAGTTGCCTGGATGGCAAGGAATTGCTGAGGCAACTGCTAGAGGAAAATAGGAGTTTGGGAGAGTTATACAGAGTGATGAGGGCTTACTGAATGTGTGCTGAGCTGGAGATGTTAAGGTGTTTTGCTTGAGCAGAGGTCTCAGCAGTTGGGTAGTATCAGGTAACTGCTGAGACACCTGTTGCGTTTGAGGAGTGTGTTCTGAGAACTGTCAAAACAGACCTTTTAGTAGTGATGTCCCGAAGCTCTTGTGAAATAGTTGTCTCAAGAAAAAGTAGGTTATTAAGCACTAGGATAAGCAGTAGAGTCAATACACAATATATCCTGGTTCAGATGTGGTGTAATCCTCCTACATCCAGTCTCACCTATTTCAAATGGATTTCACTAATGTATTAAGCCCAATACACGTAGTGCCAATCTAGCTGTAACACCCCCAAATTTCCCACCCAAAAATACCTTTAAAAATAATTTTATTTATTAACTTTAATTGAAAACATCAGAATTGTTTAGCGAAAAATCAAAAGGGAAATAGGGGAGTTACCGCCACACTCGATTCTAACCTAACCGAGTGCACAGGCTAAAACAACTTAAACTTCAAATATTCACTAATTAAAGTTATTGAAAAGAAATTTACAATGATTTACTAATTATGTTTTCTAGCGGAAGCTCTCTCAAAATCAACTTCAACAGGATCAACTCAGCACCTGTACAAAATCAAGTACAGATAGAAAAATAAAAGAAACAAACATTAGCAATAATGCTAAGTAAGCCTCACCTAACCTTTTAAAATATTAATAATAGTATATATATAAATTTGTACAACCGTTAGTATAAAATTATTTTCAAAACATTTTATAAATCATGAGTAAACAATATCTATACAAAATCTCAATCACATCACTCGTGAACCATAATAATTCCAAAATACATGAAACACCGAAATTTCTCCTTTATTGAATTTCTCCAAAAATCACTTTGTAACTAACTTCCTAGTAATTCTCCAAAAATGTTAATTCTTTTTTGCGTAGTAGTAGACCTAACCACCCTCCACATTTATCCGGATGTGGAAAAACCGACACCACGGATTTCTCCCGTGATGCTCACCTTTTATGAAAATGTTTATTTTTCTTTGTTTTCTCAAAATTTATCAAAGTTCATATTTTCAAAATGCGCTAAAATCTCCATTTTCTCAAAACTCCAATACTGATATCAAAATACTTACTATTACAAAAATCTCCCAAAATCGTATAAAATAACTCATATAAAAAATAATAACAAACCAATATATCAACCAATATATCAAATACAAATATTTTCATAGAATAATATTTACTCAAATTCAGCACACATAAATTCAATTCTTCAATATGCACATAAAAATATTCAAAGAAATCACAAAGCAAAAAGAACTAATTTCGGTTGACGTGAAACTTACCTCAAATCGCGATAACTCCTAATTGAAACTTCTATGTCGATCTTCTCCAAAAATCACCTTCTAAGAATATTACAATTTCTAATATCAATATCTTATCAAAACTATAGGTTAATTCCTCAATCCTCTACCCTTTCTTTTATAAATATAATACTCCATAATCTAGTCCATCCGTTATCGTTATCGTTATCGTTATCGTTATCGTCATCGTCATCGTCATCGTCATCGTCATCGTCATCGTCATCATCATCATCATCATCATCATCATCAGGGTAATCCAGCCCAGTTAACCGGCCCAAGAAGCTAAACAAATAGCCCAGCCCAGCAAGCTAGCTAAGCTAATCGGAGTAAATGTTTACGTACTCGTACGTCTTCTTCAAGTGTTTCGGCGACGCAGGGAGGAACCACGGATCGACGTTCGATGCGGTGGTCATCACTCCGGTACTCTAATCTCGGCGTCAACAGTAAGGCATACCGGCGGCAACGTGGAGGCAAGGCCAGTGGCGACGTAGAACGGCAACGGTTTTTCTTTCCTGCTCCGGCGTGCAAAAACGGTCCGGCAATAAACCTTCTGGCGCGACAGTTTGGGTTCTTTCTCCGGCGTGCAAAACGGACAGGCAGACTCCGTCTTCTGTACTTCCTCTAGCGTGGAACTCTGCAGAAGCACTGTGACATGCTGCTCTTCCCTTGGCGTGAAGTCCGGTGCTTGTTCCCCTTTTTCCGGCGATGGCTTTGGTTTTGGTTCCTCCTTCGACGCACTCGTTTCTTGCCATGCGGTGGTACTTACTTCTGGTGGAGAAGGTGAAACGGCGAGAGAAGACATCCTTCTCTTATGGATACCGCAGCTCCGGTGGCGTCCAGTGCACAAACAGAGAAGTTCCTCCTTCCTTCGGCATCTCTGCAACCGCACTCTGACAGTTTTCTTCTCTTGGCGGCGGCAAAGCTACTGTGCTCCACTGCTCCGGCTACGTTATTCTCTTCTCCGGAAACTGGTCTTAGTGCCGGCGCTCTCTCAAGATGGCGCGGCCAGTCCCCACGCTCTTCTCTCCTACTCACCGACTAGTCAGTGTTCGTATTTCGTGACTTGGGTATTGTTATCTTTTGTCTTTAATTGCAGGTACGTGATATTTTGCGCATGGTTTGGGAGCATATAAATAGAGGGTTACGAAGGTTCTAGCAGTCTGCGTTGTCCGTTGAGCTTCTTCCAGAACTGACCGATCGTTTCATTGTTAATTTGTTATTCATTATTGACGCTTTTAATTATTAGGTGTGGAGTATTTAAGTAAGTATGCAATGCGTAGTATTACCACCGTTATATTTTATGCATGTATGCATAAACCGTATGCATGTATGTATATGAGGTATATGTATGTAGTATATCATGTATGCTAAAGTTCCTTTCCGTAATAATTATCATTATTACTATTATGCTTAAACGTTACATGCATGTGTATGCATGTACATACCTTATTTTACCATTTCAACATTTTATCCTTATCAAATAGTTTATGCCATTTTATTCTTATCAGATAGATTATATCTGCTTTATTTTTGTACCAAATTATATTTGTTCATTTTTGTTTCATTTTATTATTATTTTTACTTTTAAAATTTTGAGGTGTCACACTAGCTAGCCTTGACAACTCTGGCCTAGATTGAAGGTGTTTCACGAGGAGTACAACATCACTCCAAGCTACTCAATCCTTTAGGTTTTTCTCGATTGATCCAGTGGGGATCAAAAGGTACTCCTGACCTATCTAACCACACTCAGGCCGGGAACAACTGTCCTCCTGAAGTGTTTAACAACACGTTGTATACTACAATAAAATTAAGGTCTTCAACTAAAAACTAATCTCTAAAAATATGAAAATGATGATCTAGTCTAAGAGCTTAGTGAAGCATGAGTCAAAGCAGAGAGTGAAGTTATGATCAAGCACTTTCTCTTTTGCTAGATATTCTTTGAATGCTTATAGGATTTCTCTGCTTTTGAACTCAAGAACTTATTTTTGGAACTCATGCTTCGGCCTTTATTTATAGGCGTCTCGAGTAGATTAATCTCATCCGTTGGTTGAGATGAATTAATCTTGTACGTTGAATCTTTGTTTCAGAAGATAACAACTTGTTGTTCATCGTATTCTTTGGAGCCGATAACTTCTTTGTCTCGATGTGCCTAGCTGCTGCATTTCTCCTTTGTAGATATCAACTTGACTGCACCTCCAATGCTTTGTACGTTTTTGCATTAAACGTCCTCCATGATTGGATTCCCTTTCTTTGATTGGCTTCAGATGATCACGAGACAATATAACAAATAATCGAACAGTTAACTTTTGAGTCTAATAAAATTTCTACTTGTAGGATTCGAAGATACTTTTAATGTAAATGAATTTACCTTATTGCATTTTTACTTTCCAGTATTAATTTTATTAGTCTTAAAAATTATTATACACATGAACTTTTCGTACCAATGTGCCTTTTCTTTTTGCGATGAATTGAAATGTTTGTATCAAGTAAATATACGGGTAGGATTTAAATATCCTTTTCAAGGTAAAAATTACCTTATTGCGTTTTGACTTTGCCGGTATAATGTACTTGATACAAACATTATTCTTTTGACTCTCGGTCACTCTTGGTTGTGTATGGTCCAGCTAGTATTTCGAACATATAAACAAATATTAAACTGGTAGGATAACAAATCCAATTAAGGTAAAAATTATTACTGTTGGGCCGCGGGTATGCGGTGCCAGCAACAGCCAGCCTGCCGGTGCACTCGGACCGCGTGGCGCTTCGCTTGTGCTATAAATGGGGAAGAGCGTGCTTCACTATCAGCGATTGCTTTTGGTGTAGCGGTAAGCGCAACGATCCACAAGTGGTATCAGAGCCAAGGTCACGGGTTCGACCCCCGGCAACAGCATGCTGCGCAGTTGTAGGCTGGCAGGTGCTGGGGGGAGATTGTTGGGCCACGGGTATGCGGTGCCAGCAACAGCCAGCCTGCCGGTGCAATCGGACCGCGTGGCGCTTCGCTTGTGCTATAAAGGGGGAGGAGCGTGCTTCACTATCAGCGATTGCTTTTGGTGTAGCGGTAAGCGCAACGATCCACAAGATACCACTTGTTGGTCCCGGTTGTACTGGATACAGTCTAGAGGGGGGGTGAATAGACTGTATTGGTTTTTAGCGTTTTGAACTAAGTACCAGATTTTACAGAATAGCCTGTTCTGTTGACAGAACAGACTGGCAGCGGATGGGGTTCTGGTAGGGGGTTCTGTTGATTTAGCCTCAGAGAAGCAAAGGCAGTAGGCCTTCTGTTAACTCGTAAGACAAGTTCTGCTGAACACAGATACCAAGTCTAAGGAGTTAGACAGTTCTACCTAAGTGCAAATATTAAAGCAGTAAGTAAATGACACCAGGGATTTTTATAGTGGTTCAAGGAACAACTTGTTCCTCTAATCCACTGTTCCACTAAGCTTGTAAAAACGACCGTTTACAACGTCTTAGTCCTAGCACTTAAGAAGCTCTCCACGTCTTCTTCAAGTCTAGATGTCTCCTGGGATGCACTGCCTGGCTTCCTTTAAGACTGGTCCTTTCACTGAGCTTGCTGGAAGTATCACCACTTCACTACTCCAGTTACTTGGACGTCCTTCTTGTAACAAGAAGAGTTTCTGTTGAAACAGTGGTTCCTCCAACTTGCTTCGTTACAAAAGATTTGTAGATGAAGTGCTTGAAGTTGTTGAAGAACTATTGGAACCTTGCTCTTGTTGGATTTGATGATAGGAATATATTCTTTGCAACTTGTGTCTCTCTTGTTGAGGATGAAGAGTTTGAATCTCAAGAGGACCTTTTTGCCTTGAGTAGTTCGAATGTGTTTTTCTTGCAAGGAATGTGGTGAAGTTGGCAAAGTTAGCAGAGCAAAAGTTATTCCTTTGTTCTTCGAAGAGTATCTTTTATACTTAGGGTTGTCTTCCCGTTGGAGGTGAAGGAGAACAACTGCATTTAATGCGCGTACAGTTGACTTGACTGGTTGAACCCACTGAATTCGGCGACTTGCTATTTTGAGAAGATTCTTTCCAAAAAGTGGTCAATTATTTGCTTTAAATATCTTCTCGTACGTATCCGCATTAAATGAGCATTTAATGCGCGTACTGTAGCTTTTCCGTTGAAGTCTTCTAGCCGTTAGAGAACCTTCCGTTGATTTCGCCGGCTTGGAAGTGAGCTTGAGGTTTTCCAAGTGTCAGGCCTTCTGGTCTTTTCATCAGAGTGTTCATCAGAAAAGGTCATGAGCACTTCTGTTGTAACGGAAGTCACCAGAGGGTCTCCAGTCCTTCTGTTCTGTTAGAGGCCAACAGAGGACCTAAGTGCTTCTGCCTTAGTGAAGTCCAATAGGGAATAAGGAGGACTTCTGTGAAGGCACAATCACCAGAGGGCCAAAAGGGCTTCTGTCTGGATGTCTTCTGTCAGTCGATTATGCTAGAACAATTACAAGGAAACTTCTAATACAAATTTTCTAAGGGGTAATAAAAAAAATCCTATAGCATCATCAAAATTTAATTACATTTATTCCTTACAATTTCCCCCTTTTTGATGATGCCAAAACCCTTTAACTATTTCCAGAGAAGTGCCTTCACCATAAAGAATTAAAGTTTAGAACTTCCATTAAAATCTTGGTGGGCAACTTGGCATAGGAAAATAGTAAGAGTGCAGTACATTCAGATAGCAGATAATAAATCAAAAAGCAAATAAACAATCACAAACAGAAGGTAAAGAAAAGCCAGAGGTTGAGGAATTGCCTTACAAAGTGTGAGGCAGAGATGTTCTTTTATTAAGGTGGATTACAAGAGTATCTGATTACATAATAGCTTTTGCAGCTTCAGCTCTTGCTTGTTCATCCAGTCCTTGTAGTCTCTTTAGCTCTGCATTCACCTCTTCTCTGATTCCAACCAGATTTCCAGTTCTTTGATAAGAAGCCCAGACGGGTGAGAGTTTGCAGTCTAAGTAGTTTAGAACACCTTCATGGATATCTTTTCCTGGTACAATACTGTTGTGAAACCAGAATTCTGCTTCTTCCAGAGATCCACCATGTCTAACCTTTTTTTTTTGGATAAACTGTAAATATATATATCCAAAGTGTTTATGTACGGCTGTACAATCATATACAAAAAGAGGTCATCCCAAGTCAGGATACCCCGTCACCTCCAAAAACAACCTCCCACATCTAGCTAAGCAAGTGTGCTAGCCATCACAAAAACCGGTGACGAATCAGCAAAAATTCAGAATGTTATCCTATCAATTGGATACATGTAGTACAAAATCTTATACACCATATACTTAATATGCTTGGCCATATCTACCGGAGTGGTCTTCACCTTCTCAAAGCAAATACTATTCCTCATGCGCCAAATCCAATAAACGGTGTAGCAAAAAGATATCCTCACTGCTTTAGCTTTGACATTCGCTCCATGATGTTCCTTCTTGATCCACTTAATTGCACTCGAAAGTGTAGTCATCCGTCTAGCTAGTCCCAGCCACTCCCGGATCAAGTTCCAAACCTGTCCTGTAAATGTACACTCAAAATATAGGTGTGACACCGTCTCCGGGCCACCCTTACAAAACTGGCATTCATTAACTATATCCAAATACCCCAAGCTATCATACGTCGCTAACCTACCACGAAAAGCAAGCCAAGTAATGAACGAGAATTTGGGGGGTATATAACTCTTCCAAATGAAGGACATCCAAGGGTGGATAGTACCTTTGATTCTAAGTAATTCATAGACTCTAGAAGAGGAAAGTTTCCCATTTTGGACCCAATTCCCCATATGAGTCATGGCCACGCCTAGAGAAGGAAACTTTGATAAAATCAAGTCCCGGACTGTCCCAATAGCTTTAATAAGTCGAGAGTCCTTTGTGTGTGGTGCAAACGTCCACACATCTCTCCCATGGAGATAGACCTCGTTCATCCATTTTACCCATAAAGAGTCTTTTTTAGCATGTATATTCCAAAGAGTTCGGGATAACAAGGCATGATTCCAAACCTTAGCATCCCTAATCCCCAACCCCCCCTCATTTTTAGGTAAACAAACATCATTCCATGCCACTTTTGCATGCTTATTACCCCAAAGAAACATTCTACAAAGGGAGGTAATCCTATCAATGATAGTCCTCGGAATGGGAAAAATGCCCATCCAAAAAGCTTGGACTCCTTGCATAACGGATATAATCAACTCAACCTTACCCGCATAAGAAAGAGTCTTTGAGTTCCATGCATCCAAGTAATTTGTAACCTTATTAATCAAAGGAGAGAATTGGGCTACAGATATACTTAGAGGGGCAAGTGGAATACCCAAATATCTCACCGGGAAGGATCCTTGTTGAAACCCAACCCTTTCTAAAATATACGGGATCCTACCTTCAATATTACCACCTAGAAAGATATTAGACTTATCCTGATTAACCATGAGACCCGAAATCAGTCCATAGTCATTCAAAGCCTCCACCAATATCTTAATAGATGCATAGGTACCTTTAGAGAAAAGCATCA